TTTTAAAAATATATTGATTAGCAGTTCACATGTAAGCTCTTTGCAAGTTGAAGCGTATCTAGTCCGGTTTTGTAAGTGTGTGCTGGGAGCTTGTTTTCTGTCTCCCCAACCTTGGTTTTCTGGGGTCTCTGGAAAAGAAATTGAACCAGGTATTATGTAGGGTCTGGACCACGCAACCTCTTTCTTCATCTTGGCCAGGACTGCATTCCTCACCCACACGCTTACTCGGCCACTGCCATGCCAAGCAGACACACAGCTGGGGGTCCACCCCGTGCACTGGAGGCGTGGCTATCCAGAGAGCTCTGTTCTCATTTCCATTCGCCTCCGACGCATGTGACCGCTGGACACTGACCAAGGAAGACCACAGAGGGACCGATGCATTTGAGTGATAGAGCTGGCCCCCAACAGTGAGTGTCCTGTGGGTGCCAAAATCTGTCTTGGCAGAAGTACGGCGAGTGCTCCTTGGAAGCAAAGATGGGGAGGCTTTGGGCATATAACCGGGAGAGGCCAGTCCCTGGAGAAGGACATCATGCTAGATAAAGCGGAGGGGCAGCGGGAAAGAGGGAGACCGCTGATGAGAGGGACGGATGCCGGGGCTGCATCGGCGGTCTCAAACGTGACAATGGTTTTGAGGACGCCACAGGACCGGGCAGCGTCTCCTTCTGACATACATCGGGTCGCTGTGGGTCAGTACCCAGCAACAGCTGCGACTAAGCGCAGGGTAGATGCAGCTCTGAGAGTGGGGAGCCCCCAGTTTCCTGGAGCAAGACCAGAGGGAACAGGCTACCAGGGTAGGAAGGTGCGTGGGCTTCCGCCGCTTTCCTGTTCCGGAACTGGCTTCTCAGGAGGCCCCATGGAGTGCCGGTCCAGCACCGGCTCAAGGTTAGCCTGCAGCTCGGTGGTTCCAAACTGCTGGCAAAGGGATCCGTTCCTGGGGGGCACTGAGTCCAAGCCGCTGTGCAGTTCCCAACAGCAGCAGGGTGAGGCACAGGGGCGGCTCTCAAATGTCGCTACCCTCCACGACAGTGCGGTTCAGCTCGGGACCTGCGTTTAAAAAGTCTCCAGCGTTGCCCGCCCCAAAGAGGAAACAGGATCGAACCCTGGCCGTCTTTCTGCCATGTGCTGGGAGGCTCCGCAGCCCCCCAACCCCACCCTCACCCCCGGAATCAATGAGCCCCGCTTGCTTTGTGAGCTGGGGAAACACAGGTTGAAAGGCCACGTGAGGCGGCTTCTCTCGCATGCCGCTGAGCAAAGCAGGCCCTGGCTTAAGAACGGAGTCAGACCAGATGCGAAGCAGCAGACTCCTCGTTGGTGCTTTGAAACAAATGAGGAGTGGGGTGGGGTGGGGTGGGGGTGGGGGCCCTGGGAGATTAATGAGCCCGTTAGAATTTAACTCCTGTTATTTATTCTCCTTCTGCTTACCCCCTCCCCTCCGTTTCAGACAGAAACAGAAAGTTACAGACTCTGAACTAGCAAGTGAGCAGGCCCATCAGTACCTTGTTACCAAAGCCAAAAACAGATGGTCGGACTTGTCGAAGGTAAGGAAGCCATCTCTCTCCTCAAAGGGAAAGACAAGCTATTTTGGGGTGTCGAGCCCCAGCTGCTGAGCTGGGAAGCCAGCTCTGCCTTCCCACCTTTGGTTCCAAAAATATTCCTTCCCGACTACATCTCCCCACGCCACCCCCACCCCCACACCCCCACCCACACACAGGCCAGCGGCTGCTTAGCAAGGGAAGCAGGTGCAGGTGGGGGGCCTATGGACGGAAGGACCAGTTGGGACTTCCCCTGGGCCAGACCTGGACACATACATGAAGACTA